TAAATATCTTTATTTATTTTTATTTTGTGTGTATGCGTATATTGCCTGCATGTAGGTAAGTGCACCTGTGTTGTGCAGTGCCTGAGGACAGAAGAGGCTGTCGGATCCCCTAGAACTGGAGTTACGTACAGTTGTTAGCTGCCATGTGGGTGCTGGGATTTGAACCTGGATCTTCTGCAAGAATAGTCAGTGTTCTTAACTGCTGAGCCATCTCTCCAGCCCTAGAAATTTTTAAATCTATAGTCTGTTGTAATTTTTCTTCCCTACAAAAATGCCAGACCATTTAAATGGAATCCCTTTTCTATTGTTTCTTAGTTACAGGAGGCCAGAGAATTGGAAAAACCAATCCATTCGAAACCTCAGTCTCCCATGATCCAGGCCACAGCAGGATCCCCAAAGTTCAGCCAGCTGAAGCAGAACCAAGCCCAAACAACTCCTGAAAAAACAGAATTGCCCAACGGTGATCATGCCAGGAATGGCCTAGGAAAAATGACCTCAGAAAATGGAGAAACTCCCCGAGAAAGAAGCTCATCACTCTCAGGTACAGCTGAAGCTTCCAGGTGTGAGAGATTGTCACCCTGTGGCTACAGGACACATTGGGAGGTGTTGGCTAGTGTTGAGGGAAACCCCAAGAGCAGCTTGCCTATTTCTGGGATTCCCCTTGGCTTCCCCTTTTCTCTTACTGTATAATGCACAGCCAGTGAAACCTTGTCTAACGTGTTGTCAGCTGAACAGTCTTCTTTAAATAGCTCCTAGAATGGATCCAGCTGCTGTTGCTTTGTGATGCTCTAAGTGCAGTGAGCACACTTTGGGGTGCTTAATAATTCTGGAGATTTAATTGGGTACCTGGCAGTCTGGGACCATGCATAGACACCTGTGAGGACCTAGAATACCAGATGGGCAGGCATGCATGGACAGACAGGTGCATGACATGGAGACGGCTTCCTTCTTTTTTTTAAAAAAAAATTTGTTTATTTTATTTTACTTTTTTTAATTTAAAATTTTTATTATTTTATTATTTTTATTTTATGTGTATGTGTGTATTACATATGGGTGCTAGGATTCGAACCTGGGTCTTCTGCAAGAACAGCCAGTGTTCTTAACTGCTGAGCCATCCCTCCAGCTCGATCGCATGGGTTTTTATCATGGACTTGATCAAAGGCCTTATCTCTGTCTATTGAGGTAATAATGTAACTTCTAAGTCTACTTATATTTATTATATAGAAGTCTACATATATCATGTGGGTGCTGGGATTCAAACCCAGGTCTTCTGCAAGAACAGTCAGTGTTCTTAACTGCTGAGCCATCTCTCCAGCCCCATTGTTTATTTTTATTTTATGTGTATGCGTGTATTGCCTGCATGTAGGTAAGTGCACCCGTGTCATGCAATGCCTATGGAGGTCAGAAGAGGCTGTCAGGACTGGAGTTATGGACAGTTGTTAGTTGCCATGTGGGTACTGAGATTCGAACCCGGGTCTTCTGCAAGAACAAACCAGTGTTCTTAACCGCTGAGCCATCTCTCCAGCCCCTTGTCGTCGTCTTCTACTCAGTGAGCCTATTCACTGATTTTTGTTTGCTCACAAATTCCTTTTTTTTACATTTGTTTATTATGAGAAGATGGGAGAGAGAGAGAGAGAGAGAGAGAGAGAGAGAGAGAGAGAGAGAGTGTGTGAGAGAGAGAGAGAGAGAGAGAGAGAGAGAGAGGTGTAGCCGGAAGACAACAGCTTGCAAGAGTCCATTCTCTCCTTTCACCATGTGTGCCCTGAGGATCCAATTAGTCGTCAGGCTTCACAGCAAGTGTCCTTACCCACTGAGGCATTTTGCTGGCCAATTGTTTGCTCGTTTTGTTTTGTGTTGTGCTGTGCTGTGCTGTGTTTTGTTTTGTTTTGTTTTATTTTGTTGTCCCAGCTGGCATGGAACTCATAGAGATCTACCTGTCTCTGGCTCCTGAATACTGGGATTACAGGTATGTACCACCACACCTGGCCTAAGCATAATGTCTTGATGGGGTTGTCCTGAGATGATTTAGGAATATCTGCATTTTCTCCTGAGCCACGGGCATGAACCACATTCAGAAGCCTTATGCTTTGAGTGATTTGCCTTTCCCAGTTGATTATAATTCTTCACTTGGTCTGGTTCTGCACAACACATCTGACTTGTTTCTGCCACTGATCTTATTTCTGCTACTGTCTTAGGACTAATGATGACTTCTGAGGGAACCTTCTCCCCTGCTAGAGTGCACAAGCCTACCACCTTTTATTCCTCTAGAAGTTACCAGAGGTGCTTGGCATGCCCAGGCACAGAACGTGTGTGGGTGCAAGTGTGTTTTCCTTACCCAGAGGATAAAAGAGAAAGTTGACATCAAGAATTGTGTGTGTCTGGTTCACCCTTGATGTATGTGACTTTGCTCCTGCTGCTGGGATCTGGAGGACAGCGCTCAGAGACTCCTGGCCAGTGCTCCTCAGCTCTTGTCCTCTTCATAATTCTTGGGCAGGGACCAGGCTTTTACCATCCTTACCAAGCCGTGGCCAATCACTAGACATTAACATTTAAGCACACTGTAGTAAGCATAGCTGTGCAAACAGAGGTGCAGTTCTGAGCTGCACCCAAGTGCTTTCCCTCTGGCACTTTCTCTGTTGCAGCCAGAGTGAGCTCTTAAAAGCATGAATTAGATCATGATCTCCTGTGCCAGCCCCTCTGCTAATTCCCTACCCTGCACTGTTGAGAGTGAAAGCCATGCCTACCCTGCCCCCATGGCCTTGTGAGACGGGGCCCTGCTCACCTCTCTGTCCCTTGTCATAGTCTTACTAGCACACCAGTTTCTGGCTCTTAGAAATGCCATGCTTCTCTACGGCCTTGTGAATTCTTTTATGTAGCTCTATTCCCTGCCTTCTATTTTACTGTCTTAAAATTCTGAGTCAGGATCTTACCAAGTTGTTAGGCTGGCTTTGAACTTGTGATCCCCTGCTTCAACCTCCCCATGGCTGTTGTTACAGGCCTGGCTTTGGGTTTTTGAATGTGTATTTTTTACTGAGTAATCTCTTAGTTAACAAATGTTAGCAGCTAATTCATGTGTCTTAAGAAACTGTTCATAGGTTAAACAACACAGTGCAAACCAGTGCACCCACTAGACATGACTTAAAGGCCCCTGGTCTTACTGAGCACCAGAGCCTCTGATAAAATGACTCCATGTTTCTTGGGTGTTGAATGTGAGCAGGGTGATATGTACCAGGTGCTTTGGGAGGGACAATACATATTAGAAACTGTTAACCTATATGAAGTTATAGCATCAGAGAATGTTGGAACTAACTAAAAGGTAACTTAGTAATACCTGCTCATGGCCTAGAGATGGAGTCAGTGCTTGAGCATTTGCCTAGCATGCGAGGCCCTGGTTCAATCCCCAGTACAAAAACCCCCAAACAAAAAAGCCAGTTCTAAATTATCTAGTCTTATGTTTACAAATCAAAGTGAGCAGTTTTTCTTTTAATAGTTATACGTTTATTAGGGCTGGAGAGATGGCTCAGCCGTTAAGAACACTAACTGTTCTTGCAGAAGACCCGGGTTCCATTCCCAGCACTCACATAGCAGCTAACAACTGTCTGTAACTCCAGTTCCATGGCATCCGACAGCCTGTTCTATCCTCTGTGGGCATTGCATGACATGGGTGCACTTACATGCAGGCATAACACTCATACACATAAAATAAAAATAATAAAAAATATTTTTTAAAAATTAGTGGGGCTAGAGAGATGGCTCAGCAGTTAGGAGCACTGACTGCTCTTGCAGAGGACCTGGGTTCGAATCCCAGCACCCACATGGCGGCTGCGAACCGTTCTTAACTCCAGTTCCAGGGGAATCCGAAGCCCTCTTTTGACCTCTGCGGCATTGCATGACATGGGTGCACTCACATACATGTAGGCAATACACTCATACGCATAAAATAAAAATAATAAAGAAAATATTTTTTTAAAAAAAGGAGTTAAAAATATTTTACATGCATTGATACAATATAATCAGTGTGTCAGTTGATGGATTTTATTGCTGAACGTGAGGTGAGCACTGTAAGATGTGCAATAATGTAAATGGGGGCCATAAATGGGGTGAAATTGTGAAGGTGGTATGAAAATGACTGAAGTCTGGATAAGTAATCCAGTCTAAATCATGGATTTTAGGTAAAGAAATAAGCTTGGGAGATTTTGGCTGTGACTAGAGAGTCTTAATTTCTGTTCAAGTTCTTTTTTGCCCTCCAAGAAAAGCATATGATGTCAGTAATCCCACATGAGTGTGCTCGACTTCTGAGATAGGTCAAGTGTCTGGTGAAAATGGTGATACTCAGTACTGTCCCCGGACCTCAAACTAAGCACAGAGTTCTTAAGAGTGGTGGCTGGGTGAGAGTCCTCATTAGAGCAGATGTACTTAAAGGGCTTTTCTGGGTTTGTTCATTTAAGCTGATGGCCTTTCGGTTAGTGTGATGTTTTATAAATTGGTAATACTTCTAAAAGTCTACTCAAAACCTATTCATTCTGCAAACTCTTTTCTAAAACCCGGACCTCAAACTAAGCACAGAGTTCTTAAGAGTGGTGGCTGGGTGAGAGTCCTCATTAGAGCAGATGTACTTAAAGGGCTTTTCTGGGTTTGTTCATTTAAGCTGATGGCCTTTCGGTTAGTGTGATGTTTTATAAATTGGTAATACTTCTAAAAGTCTACTCAAAACCTATTCATTCTGCAAACTCTTTTCTAAAACTAATTTTTAAAAATTATTTATTTAATAACCACATACTTAGAATAAGCATTTCATGACAACAGCATTGCCATATTCAATAACAATTTCCAGAGCTAAGATGCATCTCTTTCAAAATTGGCTGTAAATTTTTAGGTTTACAGTTGAATTAATAGTTATACAATATTGTACTCAGTATAAACCCTATAA